CATGTGGAAATCTGATCCCCAATTTGATGCATGAGGCAGATCATTCAGGAGTGGCTTGAGCTGACCTTGTGGTGGTAAGGGATTTCTCCCTCTATTAGTTCTCACGAGAGCTGGATATTACAAAGGGGCTGGCACCACCCCCTCCCTCTCCTGCTTCCTCTCTTGCCATGTGATCTGTGCCAATGCTGGGTCCCCTTCATCTTCTGCCACTAGTGGAAGCCGTCTTTAGTTTTTTGCCAAATGCCTAATCTTCCCACCAGCAGAACTGTAGGCCAAATAAACCTTTTTACTTTATAAATTACCCAGTCTCGGGTATTTCTTTATGGCAACACAGATGGACATAGTGTTAGGAAAAAATAACGGGAGAAGAGCCCCACAATGAGATTTAGAATAATCAGCTCCGAAGTCTTATTGCTATCATTCCATATCACGAATAATTATCCACATTTCTTTACTTTTATTATCTATTTAAAGCTTATCAATTGTGTAAAAACTGATTAAAACAGTCTAATTAATTATGTTTTAGAAATTTGGGGGTATCACAGGATTAAGATATTTAATAAAACACATTTTGTGATTAAAGTCTCAGAAGAATCCCTTAAGTGCTAAGACCTACTTCCCTAACCCCCTGTAATATATAGTTCATTCTCAAATAGGATTAAATCACTGACATGAACATTTTCTTCATAATGTCGCTACAAAATAACATAAAAACTATTCTAACTACATGCCATGAAATTAAAACAATAGACCATGACTAGGAGGAAATTATAGATTTATCCTACTTTTGTGAAGATTTTTAAAAAGGTAACATTTATGGAGAAAGTAATGAATATTAAATCTTTCGAACACCTACAATGATTAAAGAACTCTTTTCACTTATGCCAGCGACTCTCCCACATAAGATTTTTGTTCAGTTTGAACAAAGAGACTCTGAGAGAATGTTAAATAGGGTTAGGCCACACAGAATGGGAAGTTAGAAAACGCAAATGGAAGAAAATCAGGTGAAAATTATTCAAATAATTTACGCTGTCCTGATATTGAAAACATCCGAAGGTTTGCAGGCTCCACCCTGGGTGCTCCAGGCGTGGTCCACAGATCAGCAGTGTCAGCATCACCTGGAGGCTTGTTGGCGCAGAGTCTCAGGCCCCAGCCCAACTTTACTGGATTAAAACTCCTTTAGAAAGGACCTCAGGTGGCTCATCTATACATTAAAGCTTTAGAGGCACTACCACCAGGGGGGAATGTTCTGAAAACTTAAGGCTAATATGATACCCTGTGGCTGAAAGGAAACCAACATAGTTTATGTAATTTTATATAACCATCATAGCAAATTTTCCCTAGACCTGGAAGTCCCTCAAGAGTGAGGGATGTATTTTATTTTATTTTTTTTTGCATTCTCAGCATCTAGAATGATGCCTAGCACGAATTAGGCCCAGTGAGGATAAAGGAATAAATTATGTTATAATAAAACTAGGTCAGGTTATTGATGCTACATTACCTGTTAACAAAGGTTACGATGGTCAGCTCCATAGGCAAGTATAAGGGCACTAAATCGGAACAAATGAAAAGCAGAATAAGTGAAAATACAAAAGATTTTTGCTTAAACACAAAATGGAGAAAACTTGCCATGTGCTTAATTAGGAAGGACGCACACAGCCAAGGTGCATAACCTGACGATTGGATAACCATGTAGTTAGTTTCAGGGTTGGAGCTGGTTATGTTAGAATAGGGTTGGAGCTTTGAGCTGTGTAATATCAGCTCACCTCTGGGGAAGGAAGGGGAGCTGAAGATTAAGTTCAATCATGTGGCCAATAATTTAATCAATCAATCTTACTGGGTAGGTCACTGAAACTCTAGTAAAAGCTCTGTATATCAAGCCTAAGGAGAGCACCCTTGGTTTGTGATATGCATTGATTTGCAGGAGGGTGATGCGTCCTGAGAACATGGAAGCTTAGTGTTTACAACTATCTGGGTAAGAACAAATGTGATTTTTAGGATTTGGTAATCCACAAATATTTCAGTATGCTAAGATGTATTATTAGTCAATTATCGCAGTCAAATTTTTCTAAAATTCTCTGTTTATTGACAAAAGAAGAATCTAGAATGTAAAATGGGTTCAGAACCTAAGCTACAAAGTGGGGTTAAGGCAAAAATCACTTGAGAACTCTAAGGCATTAGATAAAAGTCCAGAGAGCCCAGCAAGGCCAGCTTGAACCCAGAAACTATCTCAGGACCCACCACGAACAACTGATAGTTATTTAATAACTAAATAGTAAAGCCTGCAGCACAATTCTGTTCCAAACTACCCAGAGTTAGGTCAAATGTCACAGGGGAAGGGCACAGTCTCTGTAACATTGCCCTCACATCAGACACCAGTAGTAAGTTTCAGGGTTGCCAGGTCGCTCACATTTCTGACCAACAGGCTACAAATTCAGAGGTTCTTGCTTTCCTCATAGGTTCAACAATTCACTAGAACTATGAAAGTATTATGCTTCCTATTATAGTTTTATGAGAAAGTACAAATCAGGACCAACCAAAAGAGATCCATAGGGCAAGGTCTGGGAGAGTTGCAAGCACTGAGTTTCCATGTTCTCAGGATACTTACTCTTCTGGCACATCAATGCATATCACATTCCTGGAGGCTGGGCTAACAGTACATGGCTCAATCTCCAAGCCTGTGATCGTATGATTCGTCTTTCTAGCACTGCCAGCCCAAGACTGAAACTATCTAGGGATCCGCCATAAACAACCAAGACAACTGCTATCAATGGTAAATTCCAAAGATTTAGAGGCTCTCTCCCAGGACCAAGGGACAGTCGCCAAATTCCTTATTATACAACATAGCTTTATTGAAAATTCTGGCTAAGCTGGCTTAGGTCTAGGTCAGATTTTAGTTAATATAGTGATACACAAGAGTTGGCCAGATTCTTCTATTATTTTATTGTACTAAATATGATGCCCAAAAGGGGAACCATGTTATGGCGGAATTTAGAACATTATTTCTCTAGAACATTTTTAGTCTAACCGTGTTCTTTTTCCTTTGATTAGTCCGGCCTTACACATATTTTACTGAGTGTCCGCTATCTTACAGGAATCCAATGTAAATATAGCCAAAGAAACAATTTCTACCACGAATGTTTCAATCAAATGATCCTTGCCTATTCATTTAAGTACAGTTCACAAATTCTTAAAAAACACTTCATGCTTTGTCTTAGTTTGGGCTGGTATAACAAAGCACCACAGGCTGGAGTCTTAAGCAACAGATACTCATTTCTGACAGTTGTGGAGATGCAGTCCGAGATCAGAGTGCTACCACCGTTGAGTTCTGGTGAGGACCCTCTTGTGGGTTGCAGATTGATGACTTCTTATTATATCCCCATACCGTAGAAAAGAGAAGAGAGACTGCTCTCTGGAATCTCATCTATATGGACACTAATTCTGTTTATGAGGCCTCACTCTCATATTACCTCTCAAATATCCCACCTCTTAGTACTATCCAATCGGGGGTCAGGATTTTAACATACCAATTTTGGGAGACATAAACATTCAGACCATAGCACTTATTATGTTAGTTTGGGTTTTTGCTGGTACTTAAATGTTCCTAGTGGGACTAAAAAGTATGGCTAAAAAGTATACTTTGGAGTCTATCAGAATTAAATTTGAAAGCCAGTCTTGTCTCACAGTAGTAATTTTGAGCTAGGTAGGTACTTAATCTGGTCTTCAGCCTCTATATTTGCAAAAATGTGGACCCAAATAATCACATCTACTTAAGAGACGCAACATAGTACATGGACTGGAGTTTGGAACCAGATGGCTTGACAGACAGCTCTGGCATTCTCTACCTACATGGAATTCTCTGCACATAATACTTCTGTCCATAGCTTCTTCACTTGTAAAATTAGGGTAATAACCTCACAGACCTTGTGAGGATTAAATAAGTTATTGTATATAAAACACTTATAATAGGGCCTGACATCTAATAAGCACTTAAATATCAGCAATTGTAATTATTTTTAATTCCTTTTTTACTTATTTCAGTTGAGTTGAAATAATATTCATGAAAGATCATATTATAAAACTTGGCCCAAAGTATACATTGAAATGTTGACTTCTTTTACTATAGAAATTATTCTCTATTTCAGACTATTAATTAAAAATAAATGAGGTGGTTTATCTGTAATGGCAAAATTACATTTTATCAAAGATTTGCACAAGTTGATTTAGTTTTTTTAAGCAAAAATCCTTAATGTCTTCATAGGTTAAGATTGTATAATGTACAAATTAAAATCCCTTCCATCTTAAGATATGGAAACTTTAAAATGATTACCACTTGGGCTGGGCCTGGTAGCTCATGTCTATAATCCTAGTGATGTGGGAGGCTGAGATCACACAAGGCCAGGAATTCAAGACTAGCCTAGGCAACACAGCATGATCATGTGTGTAAAAAAGTAAAAAAAAATAGCTGGGTATGGTAGGGACTCCTGTAGTTTTAGTTACTCAGGAGGCTGAGGCAGGAGGATCACTTGAGCCCAGGAATTTGAGGTTGTAGTAGTTATGATCAAACCACTGTACTCCAGCCTGGTTGACAAAGCAGGACCCTGCCTCTTAACAAATGAAAAAAAGATTACTAGTTGGAAAAAAGAAACAACTGGGCAAACGAAAACTAGTTAGAATTCCTTATGTTGGGACCTTTCCATTATCATGGGCCATGATGTACACACAGAGGTAACACATTTTTCGTTTAGAGACAGAGTTTCACTTTGTCACCCTCAGTAGAGTGCCGTTGCGTCACAGCTCACAGCAACCTCCAGCTCTTGCACTTAGGTGATTCTCTTGCCTCAGCCTCCGTAGCTGGGACTACAAGCACCTGCCACAATGCCTGGCTATTTTCTGTTGCAGTTTGGCCGGGGCTGGTTTGAACCCGCCACCCTTGGTAAACAGGGCAGGCGCCCTACTCACTGAGCCACAGGCACTGCCCATAACACATTCTTTTAAAAAAAAATCACAGAGTAGTTTTATATAATGAATCGTATTCTCTCCAGATTTTAATTCATCAGTTTACTCTTATAACAGAGAATCACTTTAAATAACACCACCAAAATGGAATGAAGACAAAACAATCTGCTATTACATATCAACTTCTTTGATATGTCATAATGATATCCAATTAGTCTTGCAACATGGTTCATTTCCAGTGATCCAAACCGGGGGAATCGCAGTCCTTCATAAGGACATTTAACTGTAAGGTGCTAGAGGCAGCTCTCGCGCTTGCTTCACAAGTCAAACAGTATAACGAGTGTTCAGAAGAAAAGGCTGACACCACAAAACCACTTCATATGTAATCCATCCAGAAATGGACAGTAGTGCCTCCAGATCCTTTGGTAAAGTTAATTAATTTATAATTGTTTCCTTAAAATTCTATTTTAAACAGGAGGAATCATTCCCTATACAGTTTGTGCCAACGTCCTTGACTTTCTTGCTTCCACTGATCTGTTTATCAGATCATACAGTGATGGTAGTCTTATTTTATCCATATTTTTACTGTACACATTGAGAAATATACCAAGAACAACTAACAAACCAGACCATACGTACCTAAGAGAAAGAAAGAAGGAAAAAAGAATATTAAAATTAGAAAGGTAATTTATTGTTAGCCATAGAACTTGGTGATCAGTCCATAATAATTCTTTAATAAAATAAAATTTTGTTTTCAGAGGCCTATCATAGCATAAAAATAGCATTCTTAGAACAGATTAGATAGAATTCTGTATCTTTCAGCTGGGTATGCTGGCTAATGCCTGTAATCCTACTGTTCTGGGAGACAGAGGTAGATCACTTGAGATCAGAAGTTTAAGACCAGGGGGAGCAAGAGAGAGACCATGTCTCTACTAAACATAGAAAAAATGAGCCAGGTGTGGTGGCATATGCTTGTAGTCTCAGCTACTTGGAGGCAGAGGCAGGAGGATCATTTGAGCCCACAAGTTTGAGGTTGCAGTGAGCCATCATGACGCCATGGAGATAATAGCATATTCAAAGTAAAACTCTTACCAAAAGTCTTAACATTTAAAGCATTAGATATGTAAATCTACCAAGGGAATTAAACTGAACAATTCAACCAGTTTTCACAACTAGAACATAAAGAGGTAAAAAGGGACATAAAAAGGGACACATCGTTGACAAATTAGGGGAATCATCATAATTACTATCATGTATATTTAACATATACAGAAAGAAAAACTGATTTATAGACAAATTTAGTGTCTAATTTAGCGACAAAAAGTCACTGTTCCATTACTGTAGAATTTACAGCATTGTAAGGAAACAGACTAATTTGTGGACTTACATATTGAGTTTTAGGTTTTTAACTTCACAATTATGGTCCGACATAAGGTTAAATGATACTAACTTCAAACACACAGTAGACAGTACAAGTAACACAAAGTTTCACACAAAGCACAAACTACGAAGTTTTTAGGACATTACTTACAGAACACTTCTCTACTTCAAATCCTTTATGGAAACAGGCAGCAGATAAACTGGTAAGTTTTAAAAGCATGTATTGCAAATATATAATTTATATATGTGTGCCAGGGCAAGGGAAAAAAATCCTTTTATCTCAACAGTGTACACATCACTCACATTCATTCATATTGAAAACAGGGTCACATTTGCATTGGGCTGGGGTTAGGCAATTGAAGTATACAAAATGGTAAATTCAAACTAATAAATCATAAACACTTCCAAAATATTACAAGATACATTAATAGGTAAGAGGTCAACATGAAAAGGATTCTTTATAAAGAATAACAGGAAGAAAACCTACACATTAACTTATATAAAAATTAGTACACCTACGTAAACAAAAAGAAAAAATAGAAAAGTAGAAAAGAAATGGGAGCTGTGAGGAAGTATTAAACACGGTATCTAAGAGTTGATAAACTTATCTAATTAGAAAATACTTACTGAAATGTGAATGGTTTAGCAAAGAATATAAATGAAAGTACTATGGTCATTGCTTTTCTTCCTGTTGTCACTGTAAAGGCAAAAAGTTGGATTTAGAATATGCCTACTACCTCAGCAACACTTGGGAAATCATGTATTCGATAATATTTACAGAGCTGACTATATGTAGTATGCCAGAACCTATGTGAGGTACTAAGGAACAATGAAAATTGAAAACCAAACAAAAAGTCACTATTCCTATTACTACAGAGTTTACAGTCTTATAGGGAAACAGACATTAAATAAATAAAACAGTAAATGTTAAAGTACAATTGCAGTGAGTACTCAATAGAGGCTGTGGTACAACAGAGCCATAGTGAGTCTTAGACTTAGTTTGACAGAAAAGAAAAAGACTTTACTAAGGAAGAAATGAGTAGACAGGAGTTATTCTTTTTTTTTTTTTTTTTTTTTGCAATTTTTGGTTGGGGCCAGGTTTGAACCCACCACCTCCGGTATATGGGGCCAGTGCCCTACTCCTTTGAGCCACAGGTGCCACCCAGGAGTTATTCTTTAATGATATCTAGACCAGATGTGGTGGCTCACACCTATAATCGAAGCACTTTGGGAGACCGAGGTGGGAAGATTGCTTGAGGTCAGAAGTTTAAGACCAACCTGAGCAAGAGAGAGACTATCTCTACAAAAAAAATTTTAATACTAGCCCGGAATAGTTGTGCACACCTGTGGTCCCAGCTACCTGGGAAGCTGAGGCAGAAGGATTGCTCAAGCCTAGGACTTGGGTTGCAGTGAGTGATGACGATGACACTGCACTCTAGTCTGAGCGACAGAGCAGGACCCTGTCTCTCACACACATAAAAGGTAACTTAAAGGATATACTAGTATCTCAATAGTGGTCATCTCTGGATAAGACTATGAGCAGTTTTTATGATCCTCTTTATTTGTATTAACTTTTCCCTGGCTTCAAAGTATTACACCTTGAAGTCTGCTGTTAAGTCTGAAAGCTTCCTCCCTGTCACAGGCAGACATGGGAGCTCCAAATAAAGCCCCATGGCAGCCGCACCTCTCACACTGCACCGTGGGCTGCTGTCTTCCACTAGGCTGTGCTTCACTAGTTCCTCGCCTTATTCAAACTTACATTCCTACACCCTACAGTGCCCAGCACTTCATATTCCATGCCTGAATGAATACAGAAGAAAGAAACTTCTGAAAACGTGTCAAAGCCAAATCCCCAACACCTGTTTTCCCTTCTACAGTGAAAGGACCCCTAGTTTTTGCTGGGTATATGTATGTTCCTATCTCTGCTATAGCTAGGTGTGGTCACACGACTAAGATGTGGCCAGTGAAAGGTGACCGGAACTGCTGGTATGTGACTTTTAGGAAGTTTCCCTAAAGAGAAGGGTGTGTCTTTTATCTTCTCTTACTCCGTCTATCCTGCAGATAGAGATGGCATAGCAGGCAGAAGGAATTGCCAGAGAACCAATACAACTTTCATTCCTCTATATTCCCAACAGAAGTCCTGCATACAGCAGGTGCATAATCATTGTTAGTGAAAAGAGAAACTAATCTGGTTGTTGTCCTAGAAAATATACAAATGCAAGGCTTCTAAAGCTTTATTTAAAGTGTATCTACCATATTTTAAAAATAACAAAACTAGAATCTTCCGGCATAGGTTGAAACTACATAAAGGCGGTATTTTCTTCAAAGGTCTTTATCCCATTCAACTTTTACAGCAAGTTCTTTTAAGGTGTTTAAAGGTTACTATTTAAATAAATATATACAGCTGATTTTAAAGTTAAACCTTCAAAATAAGAATTTAAGATTAAACATCATTTTCTTTAGAAATTTAAAGAAATACCATAAGCCAAAGAATACACTGCTGAATAAGACAATTTTTTTTTTTTTTTGCATTTTTTGGCCAGGGCCAGGTTTGAACCCACCACCTCTGGTATATGGGGCCAGTGCCCCACTCTTTTGAGCCACAGGCGCCGCCCTTAAGACAATTTTTTTTTAAATGAGAAGATGCATCAGAGAAAATGTAAATGCTTATTTCATAATCTAAGCAAGTAAACCACTCCTACCTGTTACAGCAAGAAGTGCACCAAAAATCTTAATCAATGCCAGTACAAAAGAGATTCCAAAATAGCCAGTGAGTGAAAAAAGGAAAGCATAACCATACGTCCGAATTGGATTCTGAAACAAATTAAAAAACCTGTTAGAAAAATGCAAAACAAACCCTAAGGTATTACAAATAAAATAAAACTACACATTTAATCAACTTTTGGGCAGTAACAAGCCAGTTGGCAATGCAGTCAAGCAGGATTCTTATTTAGTTTTGATTTAATGGAAAAATAACGATGAATTAAAAAAGCTCAACTCATACATTATGAACAACTTAAAAAATTAACTTACAGGGTACAGCAAGGATAAAATCAATTTAAATACCAATCATTTCATTTCTGTAATATTTTCTAATTTGCATGTATTATATTAAAGGAGTTATCAAATTATAGCCACACATTCCTTTTTGAAGTAGAGGAACACAGAGAAAACCAATGGAAGATGTTTATTTCAGAACAGTGTGATCAGTGTTTACCTTTGAACAAAATGTTACTGCAGGGCCTAATCCACTAGTGCATGTCAATCCCAACAAAATGTATACAAAACCGATTGAATATGAATATAAAACCTGGAGCAGATAAAAATAAAGTGGGAAAAAGTACCATCAAACCAAAAGTGGAAGGAAGTTCAACATGGCTCAATTAATCTATTCAATTAAGTTTATAGAACAAAACATTTTAAAAATAACATCTTTTTAATATGGCCTAACTTTCCAGATGTTTGAGCCCAACGGCTTCTAAGTTTACACATTCTTTTATGTACAAAATAACACAGCCATACTGATCCTTTCATAGATGCTAACATACTTGTTCATTTCTTGCCTGGCTTAATTATTGAATTCAAACTATATTTTAATGTTAGAGTTCTAAAAAATATATGCTAACAAAACAAAACAAAAAGTTTTAAAGCTACTTATAAAACATGGAAAAATCCAAACACTAAGTTAGCAGAAGACATTAAAATATAATGACAATAAGCAGTATATGGCATAACTACTGTTTAATTCCCTATTTTCCAACCCACCTTTTCATCCCAGTTTATAATACTCCTCACAAACAGAATCAGCAGCAGAAAAAATAAATACCTGCTATGTGTCAAGTTTTGTGCTAATGATCTACACAGATTATTCCATTTACTTCTCACAACTAACCTATTTTAATCATCATAATCCAATTTCCAGATGAAGAAACTAAAGCTCAGAGATATTAATTTTCACCCTGAATGAGAGCTAGTTACTAGCCAGGGTATGAACTGAGACTATCTTATTCCAGAGGCTACCATCGAAATTACTGCATCATATTAACTTTCTAACCACCTACTCTTCCTTAAATCTCCAAGGCCATCCTTACCTTATCTAGAATGAGTAGTGATGATGATCAAGAAAATTCTTGACCAAGATTTAATTTCCTGGGTTACTACGGGCCACTTAAGTTGCCCCACTCTGTGCTGAGAAAATGACAGGAAAGAACAGTCCTATATATCCTTAATGTAATATGCTCTATCTGTCCAGCAAGGTGGTAGGTTACAAAATTAATGTAAACACACACAGAATCTCCCTATATAAAAATAAAAACCAGTTAGAAGACATATTGAAAGAAAAGACATTTATAGTAATAGCAAAAACATGAGACATGTAACACTAATAGGAATTGTGCTGGATTTACATGAAGAAACCTTTAAACTCTAATGATTGGATATTTAAATAAAAACCACTCAAATAAAAGGAAAGTCACACCTTATTCTTGGACTGAAAGAATCAAGAACACAGATGCCATTCTCCCTAAATTAATTTATAATTCAATGCCATACCAATCACAATACCAATGGGATTTCTAGTTTATTTAGGGATATGAACACTCAAGAATAACTATTGGTAGTAATACTCTGAAAAAGAAAAGGAATAATGGCAGCTAGTCCTAAGAGATGACAAATGTATGCTTCAGCTGTTGTCGTTATACACACTGGTACAGGAATAAACCCAAAAGAACACAATTCTGAGCCCTACATGAAGATGTGGTATCAGAAAGAAGGTATTTAAAATAAGCTGGAAAAGTAGATTATTCAATAAATGGTCCTGGGACAAATGAAAAGGCAAAAGAAAAGAAAAGTTAAAAAAAATTTTAAATTGGATGAAGGATTGAATAGTAAAGGAAATCTTAAATCCAGTAGGCCATGAAGATAAACCTTTTTAAATCTGAGTTGGGAAAGCCCTTTTCAACCATGTTACACTGCTGGAAATCATGAAGGAAAAAATGAATTGGACTATAAGAAAATTCTACGTGGAAAATAACACCAACACAAAGAAGGGAGAAAAATGAGGTTGCAAAGGATTTGTTTTAATATGCAAAAACCCAAAAATTTATCAAATATTTAATAAGCTGCTGAGCGGTGGTAGTGCTGGGTTTACTGTTAACCTTCCTCGGATGTCTGAATGTTATTACTTTTATAAAAGTGATGATAAACTAGTTTAAGAATACAGTGCATGTCTTTGATACTGTAACTATTTCCTAAAATTAGTATATCACGATTTTTAGTCTATCTGAGGCAAAGAAAAAGCACTCGAGTTATTTACCATTTCAGAATTAGAAGCATTGTGCAGTTTCATAGCTTTCTCTTGAACATTTCCAATGACAGCATCTGCACATAGTGCCAGCGAAATAAGCATCACACCTTCAAGAAGGTATAAAAAAAACTCCTTATTTTAACATATGAGCTGGAATCAAGTCTTATCAGAAATTTAATCGGGCTAAAAAACAAAAGCAGATCTTCAATCACATTTGCTCAGCAATAATACTTTTTACCAGCAACCAGCTATAACTAGTACATAGGTGATGATATTAAAATAAACACAAGTAACACTAATAAACTGAGGTAATGGTGTCATCATTATTGTATTTCAATAGCACATCGCACAAGAGCTCTACTTTCACATCGGACTATACGAAAGAAGGAAGTACTGTGTTAAACAAGTATAGAAGAAACTCCTAGAACATCTACTGGGATTGGTGGTTCGTCAGTTAATTTAAAAAAAGAGATGAAGAGGAAAATCATAAAAAACCCTTATTTTTACCAAAATGTCTAATGTAAAGGACATAAACATATATGCAGCTGCCCAAGTCTTTTCTTTGAATATAAATCCTGACTAGAATTCTGCCACTTTCTTTTTGTATAAACCACATTCATAATGTACATTCTCCATCATTTCCAAGTTGTTTTCAAGTGCAGCCAAAGCTTAGAAACTTCTGAAACAACTGGAAGTTCAGAATCATTTCATGTATTTCTGAGTTTCCCCAATTTTGCACTGGTTTTACCCATATCTAATAGTGATGGGCTTGTCAATCAAATTGTTTCAATTAACTCAGTTTTCATAGAAACAATTGTCTAGGATGCATGGTCAGTGGTCACGTACTTTACGGAAACAATACAGAGCAGTTTTAGTTATGTATGTGAATCTGATGGGCTTCATAGAATTATTTTTCTTTCCTTTTTTAATGTATAAATAATCATACATAGCAGAAAAGAATGTGTACACACACGTATTCACCTTAGTCAATGAAGATTCACATTTTGTACTTATTCTTCAATTTGATTCTTTACCATCTAACTTTAATACTATTGCCTAACCATATATTTTTATTGACCAAACTTAATTCTGAATGCTTCTTTTATTTGTTTGAAATAGTGAATCTATTAAAAAGAAGACACGCTATTTTGGAAGATTCTGAAAAGAATGTCCTAACTCTTAAAAGGCTATGCGAAGCTATTCCAAAAATGTTCTGAACAGTACCAACAACACGAACACACCTAAACTGAATCCTACAGGGAATGTTTTGAAGGAGATACTTATTTAACAAGTAAATTCTGATATACATACTTTATACATTCAAAGTTTTATTTAAGTCTATCTTAACAATTTTTAATAGTCTCACTTCCTTTAATTATTAATATATTCCAAAAGATTCAGGTAGGGATGAGGACCCATCAATTATTCTTTTTTTTTTTTTTTTCTTTATTGCCCTTGGTAGAGGGCTGTGGAGTCACAGCTCACAGCAACCTCCAACTCCTGGGCTTAGGCGATTCTCCTGCCTCAGCCTCCCAAGTAGCTGGGACTACAGGCATCCACCACAAACGCCCGGCTATTTTTTGTTGCAGTTTGGCTGGGGCTGGGTTTGAACCCGCCACCCTCAGTATATGGGGCCTATGGGACTGGTTCCTACTCACTGAGCCACAGGCACCACCCACCATCAATTATTCTTAATGATGAAGTGTGGTTGGGTTCTAATTCTCTCCAATAATAGGTCCATGGAACTCAATGAAGGTTAGCACTTACGTTAGAGTGAGATGCTACAGGACCACTGGTGCCCCACCTCTTTCCAGACTGTCACTTTCACCACTCCCATTGCCATAATGTATATAGTTTTGCATCCATTATTTCATCATCCTGTCCTATCCTCCCACTACCTTTGAGTGAGGCAAGTTATTGTTAACTTTGTTTTATGGGTAAAGCACAGAGGGGTGTGGCAATCTACCTACAGTTATATTTTTCAATAATTCAAATAGAATTTGAAGCTATGTCTTACTACAAAATTGTGTCTTTTTTAAAACTGCCTTTTCATAGGCCGAAGAGTCAATTCTTTTAGTTTTCAAATACCATGAAAACTCTAGACCTTGTTAGAAACATCTGCAACTTTAGCTTTCTCTGAAAGCAAGCAGTGAGTCCTGGCACTCAAGCTGAAAGACCAGAGTCAATAGGTCCTACTAGAATCTTGTGGTTGTTAAGGGGCTGCTCCCAGAGGCAGAACTACAGTCAAATCCATTATTTCAGTCTAGTTCATCAGGTTATTAAGAAAGATTAAGAAGTGGTTAGAAGTTTTGATTTGCAGAAAGAATAATGAAGCTGATCTGAAGAATTTTTTCATTATGTAATAGTTTTTTTATTCCTCACAAATAATTATACCCTGGTACTTGCTGCTCTTATTATTTTTGCTAAATAGACACTTCAAATCCTATTTTTGTCAGGTTAGAAGATGACTCTATATTAGTTTTGTTAGCAAAATTGACAATACTATATACATGATAAACACTAGAAGCAGCCCAAAACAATTTCTCTGAAAGGTCTTTAGAATAAAGTAGGATTCTAATATTGCTTATTCTTCTTACATCTTGAAATTCTGTAATGACAATTGTTTTTTTAAAAAAACCTAAATTTACAAAATTTCACATAACACACTATGAAGAAAGCTTATTTATGAAGGAAACTTTAAAGTACGTTAAGGTAATGTCCATATTTATATTACCCAGTAGAATATTAAACAACATTATATTTAGCTAAAACAATAACAAGTAAATATACAAGCGTCAAAGTTTCTTTTTTAAATGAAAAAACCAATTAACTAAAACCAATTCTATGATAATCATAGAATATAATAATCATAACCAATACTATGATTCCCCTATAATTTGTGTGTACATTTCCAATCAGCTTATCAAAAATTTTGCCCTGGCAAATAGCCTCCTATCATGTCAAAATGCAAGAATACTAAAAAAAAAAATTGTTACATCTCACAAGTTGTAATACTTTTACTTATACGGAAAGTTATATATAAGAATCATAGATGTCACACTATCATTTAAAATACTTATAACATGTTGGAATGTCTTAAAATGTCTATAAAATTTAGGAATATAAATAAATTGCTTACCTGTCAGGTTGAAATTTGGTGCCACGGTACTGTCAGCTAGGGTAAACCATATAAGGCCAAGGCTCATGCATACTGCAGCAGACACATCTACAATATTATAACGCTTTCCTATGTAAAATAAACATAAGTCCACCTCATTATGCAAACACCCACCTGGCAGAGTGTTAGATCTCTATGCATGTAACCAAGTAGATCAAGGATATGCTTTTTATATTCAATGCCGAAAATACATAAGGACTTAGGTCAAGGTCAGAGACAGGCACAAAAGGGCTTCTGAATATTAATTACCAATGGGCACCAACAGGGCCTTATAAATTAGAAGCGAGATTCTGCTTTATCTGTTATGACAGTAAGAATGCAATACATGTTCTGGCAAAACCTAAAATAATAATGTATATCCTTAAATATTTAAAAAATTTTGTGGGAATTATTGCCACTTTTACATTATATATAAGGACCCAGATTTTCTTGCAGTTTGTAAGTTTACAAAGTGACCAGAGTATTGATGCTGACCATATAAACGTTCAAGTTTGCAAGTATTATAAGATAATACCCAGGCATGTGGGAATTAACTTATTTTAATCTCTTTATTTAGAAATGTAACTTTTTATAGGGATTATAAGGTAATATTACACATGCCTAATTACTCAGGATATTAAGGGTGATCTTTATAAGAGATTGAGGTCAGTTACTTTGCCCTATGTGAACAGTTATCCTGAAATGACACTTTCGTTTTAAAAGGCTTATTTTAAGATGGCATCTAATGCATAAAATGAAATCAGGCTGTATTAGAACTTGAGTGATACAGAAACACTTGGTTACTAAAGCGTAACTACTCCACTTGACAGTTAATATGAACGACAACACAAACTTGTTCCACTGCTTGCTGAGATCATGGTCTTCTCTTTTACTCTTACTTCCACATTGCTTATAACTTAGTAGGGCTAAGTGGGCTTAGTAGGGCTAAACCATAAGTCAGCAGGGCCAGTAAAAATGCAATTCTGCTCAGATTAAGTTTTACTCCAATATGAGAACTGCCCATCCCCATTGCACAATGGAGGCAGAGTATGGAGGCCAGAAGAGTAGAAGAATCAAAAAATTGAAACAAATAAACTTCTAGTATTTTCCAGTTAGGCTTTCAACATGTAAATATAATGTTGCTGAAAATATAGTAGAATCCAAAATAAAAGAAAAAGAAAATGATAAAACAAAATACTATTTTTCTTTCTCCAAGTCCACATTATTGATTTTAGATACTAAGGTGTATCAGAGAGGTTCAGTGTTTTTATAATACCTTATTTTTACGTCAGAATTCTTAAAATATCAAGAATGCCCATTAAAAATATTAATAGAATCTTAAAGTTTTCCCCTATTGCTAGAGGTTGTAACATAACCTATTAATTTCAAATAGTATGAAAATACTTCATTACTATACCTTGAATAAAAACTCCTCCTAGCATAACAGGAATCAATTTGCAGCACTTGAAGATTACTTGGGTAGGATAATTCAGGTAGCCCAAGGACGTGTTTGATAACCCCATAGTGCCCACAGTTAGAAAAGCTATTATCATGTAGGTTTTTCCTGGTATTCTGTAAAAGACAATTTTTAAAACCTTCATTTTGAGACCCAATTCATACTATTGTATGGTGTGTAAATGTGTAATTACTTTTCTAATTTTTGGTTAATAGTTGCTGAAATATCCAAAAAAAAATCACAAAAGTTGTAATACTATTTACTTGCATAAAAAAATAAAAATAACAATATAGCTTTATTTAATCCATCATAAACAAGGACTCTCAACTATGTGAAAAAGTAGTATGTTAAGAGAGTTAAGTTCTTAATGAAGATAAAAATGTTGATAAAAGGTTTTTAAGAGCAGGTCTAGCTACAAATAAAAACTACATTGGATAAATTTTGAGAAAGTTTATTTTAAAAAATATTGTCCTCTACAATGGTAAAAGGCACTTTAATTTCTTAATTTTGAACTTCTGAATTATTGCTCTGTTTCTTAATGTTTTCAACTAGCATTAGGAAAAATATATCGATCCATTCTGCTAGAATAACTTGAATAGATGTCTCTAAAACAAGGTCATGTGATTTAAAATTCTAGACCTGACTTTTATTAAAAAATTTTATGAATAATTTCTCGGATTTCTATAAAATGTTACAGCAATCAACTTTAAGATGAGGTATCTCAATCTCCTTGTGATTTTAAATCTTTTAATTTGGCTCTATCTAGATTTCCTAAAGAAGATTAATCTGGCATCTTCGGAATTCCGAGCCATTACTGTGAGCATTTGCTCACTTTGACTCGATATTAATGGTCTAAAATAATAATCTTGTATATTGATGTGACAAACACAAGGCGACACTATTCACATAATCTGAGGTGTGCTGCACACTTAGATGTAATTTCCACTTTGCACTTAGTGTTCATGTTTAAATCAAGGTAAGAAAATTCCTCATCTTTTATATAGTCAGGTATCATGTAAAATGATTAACTGGAAAAACTCAGTTAAAATGCATTACTTACATTTGCATTTCAATTTTGAGGCCTTTTCTACTTAGCTACAAATACAGTAGTCAAAAATTAAAAACTGTGTGGGAATAACTTGGTGTGCCTGCATGCATCAGTATACATGACATGTGTTCATGCTTTCTCAGGGTCTGACTAAACCTTCTGGGACAGTGTCAGTAAAGAAGGACAACAACTTTTCTCCAGGTAATGACACAAGTCCCAGCAGTCAAATCCTCAAAGATAAACTGCAATCAATGGCCAGAAAATAAAAATTCAAGTCAGAAAAATCCTAAGAAATATTTAGAAAAGCAGCATCGGACAGACAGACAGAAAACCAGCATGAAACTCAGGGAACCTAAATTCAAAAAGCTCCAACTCTGAGAGCAATTTGTAATATGATCTCATACAAACCTAATTCTAACTCCAAATTCTATTCTCTTTCCAGTATATTGGTATTCATATAAAAGGAGAATTGAAAAAATATATATCAAAACAAAGAGATTCACTAATTAAAGACCTAAAGATCAGTAGTACCATTTTAATAAGTTCAGAAATGGAAATATAAGCAGAGATATATTAAGAAATAAATGATTGGACATGATTTCATTGTAACATACCTTTGAAGACTTAAACTCAATTTCTGGAAAAAGTTTTGATTCATAATTACATTTATTATAAGTCCATAAATTTTTCTCCCAAATTATTTCACTTAACATGTAAATCAAATAAATTATTTTATTTTTAAATATGTTATGGTCATGAGGTTTGAGAGTTGGATTAAGGCCCCTCCCGGATAGCACACTATCTGTACAACTGATACAGAGGTGCTCCTTTTTGAGATTTAGTAGAACATGCATTATCTTTGTATCATTTTTGACTTAACAAAGACATTATTAGTGTCTTTTAGCAGCAATCATAGGCCCACAGTCTGCAATAAGTAATGAATTATCAGGCTTCCTTATATATTGGTCTTGACAGATATATTTAATAACTTTCTATTTATTCTATCACCTATGGCTATACTTTGCAGAGTTCCGGAACATTAAAATAAAGATGATATTCCCAGATTCAAATATTTTTATTATAACTGTTACAATAATTCAATAATTAATAATTTACTGGCAATAAAGAGAGGCTGGGAGGCAAAATTAGACTCCTGAAGAAACCCTTGTGTTAACAGTTTTAAATATTTAAAATTGTACAGGTACTTTGATAGACACTTTAAACACTTTTTTTTGTTGTTTAAGAAAGCAACCTCAACTTCTGGACATCACAGGACAATGTTAGTTGGAATATATTCCTCAAAACAAAACATTAACTTCACATTTTAAGAACCACTATAAAAACAGATACAGGTTGAACATATAAAAATAATTGAGACCGTGTCTTATAAAAATAATTGAGACCGTAAGTGTTCTGAGTTTTGAATTTTTTTCAAATTTTAGAATATCTGCATATATATAATGAGCTCTCATGGGGATGGGACACACTTCCAAACATTAAATGTATTTTTTACACTCTAACCCTAACCTCACACACATAGTCCAAAAGTAATTTCATACGATATTTTAAATAATTTTGTGTATGAAACAAAGTTTGTGTTTAATACTTATGTGCAGAATTTTCTACTCAAAAAGTTTTGGATTTTGGATTTTTAGATTATAAATGTTCAACCTGTACTGATATGTCATTTCAACACCCTGATGTTAGAAGCACTGTAAATCTTTCAGCAACAATACCTATTTCAGTGAGATTTATAAAAACACGTATGTATATCTGAATATTTTCATGTTTTTAGATAAACCTTTCTATAAGTTAAGACTAAGTTATAATTTTTTTATTTTGTAACATTACATTTAAAGAGAGACTTTGCTTTACTCAATAATAAGTTGGTTATATTGCTAAATATTTATAATTAGTAGATGCTTTGTTAACAAAACATAAATTTCATGCATATTCAGTACTCCAAAAAAATAAATAAAAAGATTCAACCAATGTTAGTGAACTTAATTATCAAAAAGTTAAACAAACTAACCACATACCTTCTCCTTTTGTCCTGAATCAGTTGAAGTTCTATTAGGCCAAATATGGAGTACAAAGCAAATTGTACCAAGGTAAGGTACCAGCCATAGGACTTAAAACCCTCCACTGAAAATATTAATTCCTGTTGAAAGGCACATCAATACTGTTAAGTTCAAAGGGATAGATCAATTTCCTCACAATAAATTCTCCTCCAATAAATAAGCCTCACCCATAACCAAAACAACAAAAAAAAAATCAAATAACAAAGAAGGCTTCTAATAGTTAAATTAGAAAAGTTAGAAACCCTTTCCAAGGAACTGACACTAAATACCCAGGTATGAGAATTAACAGAAAAATAAATGATTATAAGCCAACACCACCCCCCCATTACTTATTTTTAAAGGTCCAAATTAGAAGAGTTGCCCAAACAATGAAAAAGGTATGTGATTCAAGAATGTATTTATTATATTAAAAGCATATTTCATTATCAATCTATTATCTCAGGCTGGTTTTTCTATAGGAACATAGCCAGTTCCTATTAATAATGTTATTATTTATTTATTTTTTTTAGAGACAGAGTCTCACTTTGTCACTCTTGGTAGAGTATTGTGGCATCACAGCTCACAGCAACCTCCAGCTCTTGGGCTTAGGCGATTCTCTTGCCTCAGCCTCCCAAGAATCTGGGACTACAGGCACCTGCCACAATGCCTGGCTATTTTTTGTTGCCATTTGGCCGGGCGGGTTCAAACCCGCCACCCTCGGTAAATGGGGTCGGTGCCCCACTCACTGAGCCATAGGCACTGCCATTAATAATGTTATTTTTTAAGATTCTTATGCTATAGATGATACAAACTTTCTGCTTAAAGAAGGAATAATTTGCCTAAACATACTATAAAGTAATATTTACATCAATTATTAATAAGCCATTCTTGAGTCATTAAGAGGTATTCTAATAATGTTATCTGGCATAATTTTAATTGAATAAATCAAACAGAATAAATGATGCATGTGTACATATGAAAAACACTTCAATACCAAACTCCAACCATTTTCTTTGAATTATTTTGCCACGTAATTATATGCAACAGTAGCAATGTCAGTATTTACAAAGAGAAACTGGCAAAGTTATAAACAAAATTAGCAGTTATATATGTAATTCAAAAAACACATATATCAGTTTAAATGAAAATATCCAATTATTAAATATGCATAGAAAAAATGTATTACATAAAATGCGTATGATAAATTTCTAATTCATCTTCCTTTGCAATGGCTAACCTTGCTTCCAAACTATTTGGTAATAGTGTTAAAAATAAAAATCCTTTCTCAACACAAAATTCTAATCTCCATTTTTAATTGTGCTTCATTGTGTTATCCCAAGTTGTATATCACCTTCTGATGTGAAACAATTACTACTGTTATGATTTTAATTCTTATTTTTGTTTTTATACTATTATATTAATATTCTTTATAGAATTACTCCAAGTGAATTAAAAACTAAAGTCACAATTCTACCTTCTTTATTTACATTTACCTTTTAATTTTATCTTTATAACATAATGGAAAAGAGTAAAATTTTTAAGAGCACCCTTGCTAGTACTTAAAAATATTGAAAATATTATCTGTATTTTAGGAAAATGTATCGTGTTCCTTTTCTTGGATTACCAAGGTTTTCTTATGCTATGCATGCATAAAAAAGTGAAGTTAGTAATGGTTAAAAATATTCACTAATTATATAGCCACTAATAAAATCAGTCCCCAAATATTCTGTTTTCACATGCCTGGAATCTCACTCATCCAGCCCATGTCTTTGAAGGTTAAGAATTTGCTGCTGGCCAAATATATACAACTATCCTTAGGTAAAATGCAAATAGGAGACAAACTGTTATATTGGTAAAAATATTTTGTGCAAGCAAAAACAACAGAAAAATGAGATTCTGGTAAAGTTAGAAGAGAAAACCAGTAAGAATGAGAACATAATAGGTGGGTGGAACTAAAACAAAGTCTTGAATATTGTCAGATTAAAGAGATATCCTTGGAAAATCATAAAATATCCTGACAATTTTTTGTAAAAATGACCTTCTAACATTGAGCTCCAAGAATCAAGGGTAAACTGTACTATCATTTAATGTTATTAGAAAATTATGCTCTAAAATACCAAGCAACACCTGACTCATTCTCTTAAAAACACATGAACAACAAAATAACAACTCACACATGGCTACAATTATTACCCACATTTTGTTAATACTGAAAAATTATATTCATAATTTAAATTTTTCAAGATAGTCTCTACATTCTTCTTCCCCACTTAAACAAAATATTTATAAATCAAGTGAAAACATCTTAGACAAAACTACCAGTAACATTGCCCTTATTGACTTCAATGGCTAATAAATAACTATGTTTACCTGTAAGTATCCATAAATTAGGTAAAATATAAAAACTCCAGCAACGCATATGAAAAATTGAGTAAGTTTGTTAAATTTGCTAAGATTTATGCCAAGTACGATAATGTCATCAATGGACTTGATATGTGGTGACATTGTCTGGGATTTAGAGGGCACAGTGATAGAAATGTATTTTCTGGAGTTGTTGAACTTGAGATCCATTGTTACTGTGCTGCATTCAGTGCTTCCAAAGTTATCTGTGTAGGTTTCTTCTGTTATGTTCAGTCTTTCTTTAGCCTGCTCCGAGAAGTCCTAGAGAAGTAAATAAATAAAGGAAAACGTTTAGGAGAGATCATAGAGTACTATGCTCCCAATAACATTCCAAACCATACTTCAAAATTATCAAATATGTCTGATTTTCTCTGGATGGCAATACATTAATTCCTGTATTCCAGCTTCAAACAACCAAAACCAATATGCCTACTTTTCTGGCAATTTGTCTGCACCTGATAGAGATCAAAATATCACTAATTTGAATATATACCACACTTATTTCCATAGCAACAAACCAAAAGCTTCTAGTATTTTTATCAAGAATGAAGCATGTCTTCTGTTTTTATGTATAGCAAATATATAATTTTTAAAGTCCACTATCTTATGCATAATATTCTCCAAATTAGGGTCAATCCTATAGATGAATAAAGAATAAATGGTGCTCTTTTAAATACTCTGACAACTGTAATATATAGAAGAGAGTTCCAGTAATATACTGTAAAATACATAAAGTAAAAATACTAAGTTACTTAAAAAGCTAGATTTAGCAGATACTACTGAAAGGACAGTAAGTTCTAGCAAAAGCATCTTTTAGGTTAAAAGAAAACTGGAAAACGGGTCATTTGTCATCAATCTATAGAAAAATAATTACATAGGCACCTACAGATGACTATCAATTTCTCTTTGGATTTACGGAAACTAAAAAAATGAATTTCATGTAAAGGTGGAGGAAAAGACTGACAAATTGTAACAATTAAGAACAAACCCATGGAAAAAAGTTCCAGTGGGAACAAAAACTGACTCTGAGGGCTGAACAGAGAGAATGATTTTGACAGTGAGCTCTTTTGGAAATCTTTTTAAAAGAAACTGTTATATAATGGTTTAAAATGGCAAGAATTAGAGTATCCTCTTCATGATCACTTCCAGTTTGCTGATTTACAGAAATTAATCAGGGCCTCTCTAGTAACTCAAACAAGGGAGCCAAGACTGAATACAACTTAACAACTAAAAATACACAGGCATCAAGGCACTGTTTTATAGGGCATCTTCCATATTCTAAACAGAAAATGTATGGATTAATATAAGTTTTCTTGTTTCTTTTCTTTTACTTCTTTCTTCTTTGTTTTACTTTAATCTTCCTTCCCACAAGATTGATTAAGTTTCAATCATTGTCAACTGTTAAGACTTTTTAGGTCATCTTGTAGGATATCCTTGAGATGAGACTCCTTTATAAATTGTGCTTTAAATTACCTCCCTTAAACATATAGTTGAACCTCTGCTTGAACCTGTGACAAAAATCTTAGCAATTTACTCTTTTCTGTAAGTGTAGGCATGGATATGGAGCACCATTTAAATAAAACTGGCCCTATATGGGTTTCTATACTTCTTCTCAGTCCTTTAAACAAAAAAATAAAGCCTTAAGCCACCTATGTTTCATTCCCGAAATATACCACGAACAAACATCCTTGCCTTCTCCTTGTCACGTTCTTTCAGTCTGATATTTTCTTTCTTGGGTCAAGTTGTGAAGTTAGCTTTAAGATTGCCTTCTTTGTTATATTCTCTCCAATTTCCACAGTTGAGTGAAGTGAGAACTTGAAAGGTAAAACCCAAATCTTATTTGTCTCTACATCTTTGGTATCTGGCATATACTCTGTATGCAATCCTCAGACAAACCAAATAAACTCCTCCCTCCCCTGGATGCCCTCAAACTTCAGCATGCAATCGCTCACCGTTTGCTTGGATTTGATTTCTTAAAAAAACGACCAAAGTATTGGAAAATACGGACAAAACTGAAAATCATATAGAGGACAGAGATTGGTATAAAAGTACAAATAATGATTACATATTTAAGTACACACACAGAATAAAATTTTTAGAAAAACTCTTTTCTGCTTTTGGTATTCAGAAATTTCTTGGGCTGGGAGCGGTGGCTCATGCCTGTAATCCTAACACTCTAGGAGGCTGCGGTGGTTGGATTGCCTGAGCTCATAGGTTCGAGACCACCCTGAGCAAAAGTGAGACTCAATATAGCTGAGCATTGTGGTGGGCGCCTGTATCCCAGGTACTTGGGAGGCTGAGGCAAGAGAATCACTTGAGCCCAAGAGTCTGAGGTTGGTATAACACCATCACACTCTACTGAGGGCAACAAAGTGAGACTCTGTCTCTAAAAAAAAGAAGAAGAAATATGCCTGTAAATTAGCAAAATCCCAAGCATACTGTAATGACTCAATACAATTACAGCCAATATTACACGAAAAGTAGTATAGCATGGCATTTTCCCTACACTTTGGAATTTTGACAGATATGATTTCAAAATCTGGCTTTGTTACTTATCAGCTGAGAAATCTTGGGCAAATCGTTTAACCTTCTGTATTTAAGTTTTCGATATCTACAGAGGGAGAATAAAAGGTGCCTATCACAGGACTGTATGGAATAAATGTGAAAGTACCCAGTATACAGTATGACAGTCCATGTTAGCTATCATCATTCAACTTTTTAGAAATATTGCTAGGTTAGTATGGTATAGTGAAGCTGCTTCACGCCTATGGGGTGCAGTTGGAAATTACAGAACTGGATTTCTGACCCATACTTCTTCTCTGAGATCTAGATTTCTATATCCAAGTGCTTCTTTGACATCCCATAAGCTCCACTGGCACCTCATATTAAAAATGTTCAAAACTGAGCTCATTAGACTCCCCTCAGAACAATTCTATTCTTTCTTCCTATATTCCCAATCTCACTTAATGGCACCTGCCTAGAATAAAACACAAACTAAAAACCTGGGAGTTATCTTAAGATTCTTTCCTTTTCCACATAGTCTATATTTTTTCAAGATCCTGTTAACTCTACATCCATAAATATACCTAAAATCTGTTTCTGACCCTCAAACAGTCGTTTTCTCTTGCCTAGATTACTAGATTAGCCTCTTTATACGCTTCTTCCCTTGGTGATCCATCTTTCACAAAACTTAACTTGAATTCTGACCACGCTTCACCCTTGATTAAGGGTCTGTAAGCTGAAAACTAGTTGATGTCCTGGACTCTCATAGCATATTGCACATATTTTTTAAAATACCTAAGTTATAATGGCATAACTTCTTTGTTTTCATGTCTACTTCTCTTACAAGCATTTTAATTCTTTACGGCAAGAGATGATGTCCTCTTCATATGTTCTAGCACATAACAAAAATGTTAAGGGATTAAATGAAGAACTTTACTCCACTTTAGTAAACACTATTTAATAAATACTATTTTGTTCCTTTCCAACACTTGGTCATTTCTAACACATCTCTTGGCAACTTTATGAGCTGCAAATAACAGGCGACATATGGAGTTAAAACCCCTCTAGCATTGCCCGTTCTACATGTGTGTGCCAAAATACTGACCTCTTTACGGAAATTTCCTACAAAGCACTGGAAATCAAGAAAATAAATCCATTTCCTTCACTGACTATGAAACCTGCTGTAAAAGCCTTGTGTTTAGAATGCTCTTTTATTAATAAGAACATCACTGGTTAGAAAGTGTGACCAATGAAGGCCTCTGATACCCAGCAACTGACCCCTAATGTTTGCTATACCCCTTCCATTTCAAATATGACTGATATTAATTACCATCAAAAGAACCTGATATTAATTACCATCAAAGCCCTACGGAGGAGGGGAGAAAAAAATGAAGCATGAGATTAAAATTAGTTTTTGAATTAAATGATCAATATTTTGTTTTGCTTTAGTTCACAACCCTTGAAACTAAAATATTAAAAAAATAAAGTCACAGGTGTGAATCACTGCCTAAGACCTCTTTCTAACATCACAGATAGTTAACTTTAATTCTTTGCAGGTACAAAAAAGTTGCTAAAATGGAATAAAAAGGTAGCATTTCAAATGCATAGTGAAAATTTAAAAAGTATAAATAACTAGTGATAATGTTGACTTACAATGACCTACTGAAGTCAAAATTATTTCAGTTTATTTCTTAATCTAGTTTTTTCCAACCTTAAGGACAAAATTCCTTACCATAAAGGGCAAAATATATCATTAGGGCTCGAGTAACCTGGAAAAAAGGCGATTCAATCTACAGCTGGCCACAAGCACTATTACAAATAAAAGAATCTTGCATGCCATTACACCTTCACTAACTGTACTACGGAATTAATCATTTCGATAAGATCATAAAACAGAGAAAACAAATTGTCTCATTTCTTGTACGCACATTACACAAAGCTGGAGAAACTGTGTGCTAATTTTTGAAGGCAACTTTTTTTCTCCCAAGGGAGAAAGCTAAACTTAGAATTTATGTACTAAGTAATTATGTACAAATAACACTATTTAGATTATTTTCAAATGCTGCTCTGCCTGTATATCTCTTTTCCACGTTCTAAACTAGGTCACTTAGAAAAACATTTAATGAAAAAGCAATTCTGGACGTCTGATATCCCACTGTATAAGAAATTGATATTCCCAAAACTTTAACATTCTGTCAACACGTCTAATCATTCCATCTTCTACTTTAAATATTCGCTTAAAAAAATGGGAGAGAAAATTCAGCTGCAAAGGCACTTGCAGAACTTCTAAAGTTTAAGTCATAAACTTAATAATCTGTAAAAAAAAAAAAAAATCACTTCCCACTGCAAGTTAAATGGAAATTAAAGTATCCTGTCCCTACAATAGAACTCAGAACCCGGAAGGAGTTCTTAACTGCAAATGCAGTCTTGGACAAACCAAGTGAATGACAGTTCTCCAGAAGCCCCTACAACAGCCTACCAGACCCTTTGCGGTGACCTCACCCCTGTAAGCCTACACTCCCTGGGGGAGTTGTCGCCAGCCCCAGGGAGGCGAGGGGCATATGTTCCTCCCTGGGAACTGTGCCAGCGGTATCTGTTCTTTAAAAAAGGAAGTCACCCGCTCCTCCTATCCCGGCCTCATCTGCTCCTCGAATACTTGTTCTGGATAAGGCAGACGCGCGGTGTCAGGGTTTTTTGGGGGAGAGGGAGTCTTGGGGGGTCCCAAACACTGGAAGGGCCCGGGATGCATGCCCACCCCAGAGCCGATATGTCACCTGGAAGGGTGACCCTAGCCCGGGTGGCGCCTCAGCCAGACGGAGCGTCTCCCCCTCCCCAGGTCCGTCGCCATCACCTCCTCTTCCTCCTCTCTCACGCCTGTACTTTCCACCGCAGCTGCCGCCTCCTGGGAAGGTGCTCCCATCACCAGCGACCGCACGCCACTTCCGCCTATGTGTCCCTGCGCGCGTGCGCAGGCGCGCAGCCTCGGTCTCCGGCCTGGGGACGCCGTCCGCCCGCGCGCTGTTACCGCTCGCGCATGCTCCGTTCGCTCCGAGGCGCGGGACCCGCGCAGCCTAGGTGGCCCCAGCGGTGCCAAGGCGGCGCTTAAACTCTGCTAGGAGAAAAGGAAGTGGCGGCTGTAAGCGCCATTCTGGACGAGAATGTCGTCCTCAGGCCCGTGCTCCGTGTATTTCTGGCCTCTGAGCCTCTTCGGTCACCGGAGTTGCAGCTGCCGGATAGCCTTGACCCTGTGGGTGTCCAGCAGAGAGGCGGCTTCCACGCCGATGGCGCTCGGCCGAGATTTGAGAATGCAGCCAAGCGGAGAATGTTGAAACCAGATTTAAAAATCCTTGGCTTCCCTCTTCCCCCCGACTTGATCTAAATGAGATAAGCCAGAGACAGTACCTTTCAACGTTTCCATGTTGCCTGCTTGATTCGTACCTGCTTTAACAGTGAAGGTGGGCTGAAGAAACGCTTTAGGTTGGTGCTTCTCACCTTGTGATTAAGTCTGTAGCTGCAGCATCCGTGATCCTTGCAAGATCACAAAAATGTTGCCAGTATTGTTTTGACAGTGTTCTTTGCCACTTGGAAGGTAAATCCCACAGCTCGAGTACCAGCCGTCAAAAATTATCCTAAACATTCACCGCACATTTAGGGCTCAATCTATAATTACTAAGATGTCATGCTGTGAAAACCAAGATAAGGCGGCAATGAGTTAGGTTTAGATAACAGTTGAAAGAATGATGTGGAAGGAAATCATTACTGTAACGAAAATGGACAATGTTTGAGAGCATGCTTTCGATACCAAGAAGGGATGAATTGGATTCATTTATATGTTAGAATCCGCACAATTATGGTCAACTTTTAAGATTGTACAAGGTGTTATGCAGGAAGGGCAGCATTTATGTTTCGCACTGGGATTAGGAGGGTTTGTATTGAGGCAAGTCCTAGCTTAAGTGGTGGTGAGAATGCCTGGACCTGGTTAGGCTTTTTCATATAATACTTACCCACCCTATTAGGCTAGTGTTAGCACCATTAAAGGATTGTTGAAATTAAGGTTTATTGAACTTAAATTTTCTAAAGAGATAGTAAATGATACAGGTTTTCAACAATGCCATACTGACACTGAATAATGTCAATTTAATACTACTGTTAGCCATTTATACAATTGTTTATTAAGCACCTACTAAATGGGTATAGGTCTGGGTCATATACATAATCCTTTAGTTGCAAGTATGAGCTCCTAACCCTCAAGAAGTTAGGGGTTCCCATGAGAAGGCAAATGGCAGTATAAAACAACGTACATGTAAGAGATGTTGAAAGGTACCCTGTACTCATGCCTGGACATTTGCAGTATTCTTCAAACAGAGCTTATTTTTTTCTCTATAGCCTAGTTCCTGTCAGCAGCTGGAGTGTTCCTTTTAGAACATGTGCCAGTATATGCCACTCCTGCATAGAACCTTTTAATGGTTTACGGTTTAACTGAGATTAAAGTTCAAAACCCTTATCATGGCTTATACATCTAAATTGTTCTTGATGGTCATGTCCAAGCTACACTTGAAAGCTTAACTAGCCTTCTCCAAGCATACCATGCGTCAGTGCTTTATCACTGCTGCACAGAACACTGCCCCTCAGATGTCTACAGGGCTTGTTTCCTCCCTAACTTCTGGTAATGGCTCAGATGTCACCTCATCACAACTCTTCCCCGATGACCTAATCAGTGAAATATTTTTACAGGTGAAATGTATGAGAGACTATCTGGAGCAGTGCTTACTGGGAGTAGGTGTTCAATAAATACTGACTCCCTTACTTTATTGCCTGTTTGCTGTTGTGATGACCACATGGTAAACTACACTAAAGACTTGCAGCTGTAAAATGGTTTTAAATTTCTAAGAAATTAATAATCTTGTGTCAGAGGCCTTTGGTGTCTTGACTTCCATCTTCTGACCATCACCTCTGATTTCTGACTTGGTTGGGGGGAAAGTTCCATGCACGCTTTCATATAATTCTTGATAGCTTCTCTTCTCTCTGGTTTGCTGGTCCTCTCTCTGCTTTCTGCCCCAAGGCTCTTCTTACTTTGCAAGTGCCAACAGTAGTTCTCTCAGCTCACAGGCTACACAGTTTTACATTTTGGTAAGTTAACATCTGATATCTTCAGCCACGGAGCAACAGTAGCTGGTGGATAAATGCACCTGCTTCTTAACGTTTTAGCAAGATAGTTTGGTAGGACAATCTTTGTGGTTCTCAAGAAGTCCCAGTGAAATTGAGTTTTATTTGCACACAGTGGTAACATCAAGAGCACACTTTTGTGTCTCTATATCTTCCTCTCCATCCTCTCACTGTTTCACCTTCTTAACAACCTGTCCCAACATGAGTAGTTGGCTTAGGTTATAAGGCAACTTTCTAATCTTACACCAAGCTTGGAAATTTGGTTTAAGAAGAAAGTCTAGCAGGCAGCCACTTAGAACTCTGAAACTAGGTTACTTACCAAATGTTAATAAGGACTTTGTTGGTGGTATTAAGGACAGAACACATGCATGGCCGAGCAGTTAAGATTCTTTCTTACTAAAGCTGGTGTAAGTACTGCCTTTTTGAATTTATAACCTATTAGCAGCAAAGATATTTTTTTCTTTTCTTTTCTTTCTTTCTGTTTTTTTTTTTTTTGAAGCAAGAGTCTCACTCTGTTTCCGTGGGTAGAGAGCTGTGGCATCATCATAGCTCACAGCAACCTCAATCTCTTGGACTTGAGCAATCCTCTTACCTCAGCATTCCAAGTAGCTGGGTCTACAGTTACTTGCCACTATGCCTGGCTCATTTTTCTATTTTGAGTAGAGACATAGGTGTTGCTCTTGCTCAGGCTGATCTAGAACTCCTGAGCTCAAGTGATCCACCTGTCTAGGCCTCTCAGAATGCTAGGATTACAAGTATTAGCTACTGTGCACATGGCCAACAGCAAAGATTGATAGTAAATTTTGTAAACAGAGCAGCCAGCTGCTTAATTTATTACATTAACAGCCGTTCCTTCCTGGAGAGAAAAGTGGTTTGTACCTATGGAATTGACACTTCTCTTTATATGAATTTGCCTATTTCCAGGGCTAGATAGCACTACTATCTGATAAAATTACAAATACTTTCTGACATTTTGCCTCCAGCAAAGGGGCACACTTCATGGTAAAGGAGGTATTGAGAAGGGCACATAACCATGGAATCCACTGGCCCTGCTGTATATTGTATTGCCTGGAAGAAGTTGGCCTGATAGAACATTGTCATGGTCTACTGAACATCAGTAAGTCTCCTGCTCAGGAACAATACCTTGAGAGGGCTGAGATGCCATCACCCTTGAGACACCATCATACATAGCTGCCTCTAGTAAAGCTTGGGGAATTAACACCCTCAGGCAATGATCCACCAATGAGGGGTTGGTGTCTGTTCCCACAAGGGGCAATTTGGGGAAGCTTTCTCTATGTGTTTTAGGATGTACCGGGGGACTCAACTCTTGAAACTTGTGAGGGAGATAAACCAGCAAAGGTGACTGAGACAAAGCAACTTTTAGGATAGGATGAGTCTGGTTATGTAGTCTTCTAAAAGTCAAATGAAGAGGGTGTTCTAGAAGGAAAAAGGAGTGATCAACTGTGTCAGTGTCAATTGGTGCAACTTGGTATTTCTATGAAGAATTATCTTTCATAGTTAAGACTTTGGCTATAGACTTGAGTCAGATTAAGTTTAAATCCTGCATCACTATTTGCTTGTTGATTATCTTTTTGAAAATTAACCTATAAAAAAAGAAAATTGACCTCTAAGTTTCAGTTTCCTTATCTGTTAAATGGGAATGATAATAGTACCTACCTGAACATTATGATGATTAAGTGACAGAGGGAGATATTTAAATGGTTAGCGCAATGCCTGTTACCTGACAAGCGCTCAGTGAAAGTTAGCTATTGTTTTTATTAATTTAATCTATTTTCATTAGATATCATCCATTATATATTATCATCATCAGTTTTCTATTTTCTGACTCGCCATAAAGAATAGTTCATATAGCATTTTCAAACTAGCCAGTTCATTGGTGGATGTGTGGTTCCAGATGCACTGACCAGAAAAATTAGTTGAAGTAGTTTTCAACTTCTTTTAAACATTAATTTAATAAATACTAATTGAGCTCTTACTGTACATGCTACTGTATATTGTGGACATATTGATGAACAAGACACAGATCCTTGCCCTCACCAAACTCACAGTCTTGTGGTAGAGATAATTATTTACATAAGTTATCATAATGAGATTTGTGTTAATAAGGGGATTAACTACAGGATGAAATGCCAGCTACAGGCTATGCTAATGAAGCTATGGTTATAGATTCAGTTCCCCTGAAGGTTGGTTAACTTCCAGGACTATGGGTTTTATTTTGTTTTCTCCTAAATGAACAGAGGTTCACAGAACTGGGCCACTTGCACACAGCCCTGATTTCTCTTCTTTCCCAGCAATAATAATTTAGGTGGTGCAGACTTTTTCATAGGTAATGAGATGGAGAGATATATTGCTTACTTAATGCCTGGATTAAGGTAATTTATCATATGTACTGAGATGGAGAGATTACTTACTTGATGCCTGGATTGAGGATTCCTTTTGGAACAAAATGGTTTGTTGTTTTTTTTTTTTTGTACGAAGTAATTCGATTAGCTTTTTAGATTATTTTTAAACTGCCTTCTATGGATGGTTGGTCCTCTTTAACATGAAGTTCTTTGCACTTCTTAGGGTAAGTGATGTTCAAGAGAAATATAATGTATGCCACAAGGGCCATTTGAAATTTTCTGCTAGCTTCATGAAAAAAGTAAAATTAATTTTAATACTATATTTTATTTAATACAATATGGCCAAAATATTATCGTTTCAACATGTAATCTGTATAAAAATTTGTTAATGAGGTATTTTA